ATATATTTTAAGTACACATTGTTGTAACATGACAATTGTGGTCCAATTTAAGCACAGTATGATCCCACAAACAGCAATGATTTAAATTATGTTCAGCCTTAATGAGATAGGAGCTCATGGTTTTGGGGGTAGTATATTAACATGGATTAAGGATTGTCAAACTAATAGAAGATGGAGTTGGGGAAAATATGGCATTTTCAGGATGACAACATACAAATAATGGACAGTCACAGAGATCAATGCTGGGCCACAGTTATTTACAAAATATATTAACAACTTGTTTGACAGACATGAATTGACTATAGCAAAGTTTGCAGATGACAAAAAAAAGATGGATAGGCAAGTAGTGAGGATTACACAAAACGTTTACAAAAGTATATTGACGGATTAAGTGAGTGGGAAAAAGCTTGACGGATGGAATATAATGTGGGGAAATCTGAGATTATACACAGAGAAAGAATAGAAGAATAAATATTCTTTCACTGGCGAAAGATGGCAGAAAGCTGTAGCTTTGGGGGTCCTAGTGCACGAATCACAAAAGTCTAGCACAAGGCCGTCATGTAACAGGGAAGATGAATGAAATGTTGGCCTCAATTTTAAAAGAAAATGGAACATCAAAACAGGGCATCTTGTTTAAACTATACCAAGGCACCAGTCAGACCAAAGATGGAATACTATGAACAGTTTTGGTCCCTTTATCTGCGGAAAGCTATACTGGCATTGGAAACAGCGCAGAGAAAGTTCATGAGGTTGATCTTGGGTACAGAATGATTTTCTTATAAGAGGAGGCTCAGTAGATTGGGCTTGAACTTATTGGAGTTTAGAAGAATTTAAGACAGAGAATCATGCAGTACAGAAGTAACCTTCAGTTCATCAAGTCTTTACCGCCAAAAATATGCTACCACCTACACTAGTCCCACTTTCCCACAGTAGGCCCATAACCCTGAATATCTAAGTACTTTTTAACAGGTTGTGAGATGTCCCGCCTCAACTATCCTGCAAGAAAATACTTTCCAGACCCCCGACCACCCTCTGGGTGAAAAGTAATTTTCCTCAAGTCCCCTCTAAACTTCTTGCCTTTCACTTTGCTCCCTTGTTATTGAGGGCACAGAGGAGAATTTTTTTTTTTGTCACAGGGTGGTGAATCTGTGGAATTCTTTACTGCAAAGGGTTGTCAAGACTGGGATAAACAGATTTCTAATCATTAAGGGAACGAAGGATTATAGGGAAGAGGCAGGAAAGTAGAATTATCAAATCAGCCACGATCTCACTAAATAGCAAAGCGAACATGATGGGCCAAATGGTCTGTATCTGCCCCTAAATCATATAATCTTATGAACCTGATCACACCTGCCTTCCATCAAGTTGCCTGAGAAACATTAGCAGAATTAATATATTCTCATTTTCAAATTACATTCTTCAAAAGAATGTATGGAATTTGTTTAACATGCCGTCTAAAATCCTAACTGCAAAAGCAGTGATATCATTAGGAGCCACAATTAGGTATAATCTAATCTCAAGGAATCTGTATACTTTTAAAAAAAAGTGAAGCAACACTTCTAAACAACAACTGAGCATCAGGTGGAGTACAGATGACAGACTTCATGGGAATTTGAGCTGACTACTTTTTAAAATCAACAACTGCCTAGGCTCCTGGAGCTGTAACATCTGAATCTCATTTCGCAGAAGTTAGTGTTGGCACAACTGCTCAGTGACCTTCATTAAAAAAATACAGGATAAGGAACCAGGGTAGACCCTATTTTGGTAAGTTGCTGATGGTAGCTCAGCAATGTTGCTTTATGAATGCTTCACAGGAAACTTATGAGTCAAAACTTGACATCAAGTAATACCAAGCAATATTAGGTCAGGTGGCCAAAAGCTTGTCCAAAGAGGTAGGTATTAAGGATCAGCTGAGGGAGACGTGGGGAAATAGATACATCTAAGAAAGGGATTCCAGAGTTTCACGTCTGGGCAGCTGATAGCATGGCCACCAACGATGAAATTTCTTTTATTCATTCACGGGATGCAGGAGTTGCTGGCTACACCAGCATTTATTGTCCATCCCTGACTGCCCAGAGGCCAGACCAAGTAGGTGGCAGAATTTCTCCTTTAAAAGGCATTAGTGAATCAGATGGGTTTCCTGACAGTTTCATAGTCATCATTAGACTCTGAATTCAATAATAATCTGGAATTAAAATTCTACCATCTGCCACAGCAGGATTCAAACTCAGGTCCCCAGAACATTACCTGGGTCTCTCGATTAATAGTCTAGCAATAATACCGCTAGGTCATCGCCCAACCTATAGTAATGAAATGTTGAAATTAACTGGATGCAGAAGAGGCCAGAATTGGTTTACAAATATACCACAGGGGTGTAGGGTGGAGGTGGTTACAGATTGGATTAGCAAGGCCATGGGGAGATTTTAAAAGAAGGACAAGAATTTTAAAATTGGGGTGTTATCAAACCAAGAGTCTGTACAGCTCTGTGAGCACAGGGGTGATGGGTGAATAGAACATCGTGAATAATGTTTGGTAGTACAGAACTTAAGTATTGCTAAAAGGAGACTAAAAGTTAAAACATTTTATTTTGTACTAATCAGAATAGGCCACAAGAAGCAGTCTTGTAAAAGAGACACTGTTTTACGCAAAATGAGAAGAGGATGTTGATTGGTTGACTCATCATTTCTTTGGAGATACAGCAAGAACAGTTATCAATCTTAATTCTCAGACAAAGCAAGTAGATTCTGACTAGTCAGGATGTTGTCATGTGGATGTAGCAGAATTTGACTGTCTCCCTCACCCTTTTTCTAAAGAAAGGTTTGTGTAAATTCCTTATGCCTACATAAAACATGTCATGAGTATTTATGTATGTAGCTTTTAGCACATGTGCATGGCAGGCCCAGCTGATGGTCTTCAATTGGTTTCCAGTCTAACTCTTAGCACGGTTCCAATTATTTAACAAATAATTTACAAAAACAGAATCATATGTAATGGTGGATGTATTTTTTTTTTGAGGCTAGCAATCACCAGGTGGTTGAACACAAGTGGTTTGGTGCCAGCTGTGAAGAGCCGACGGGGCATGTTATTTCATACAGTCCACCAAACATAGGAACGTGCAGCCTACATATCCGGCATCACACCGGCACTGAAACTCATATTACTCATTTGAGGGGGGATGCAAAATTTGCTTTGGATTGGTGGCATCACCTGATGGTGCATCATAGGTTAGTGAAGAAAAATACTTGTAGATTTAATGTTCAGTTGCAGTGTGAGACAGCTAACTTCACCTGTTTGCAAATTTTTGCGACACTTTTCCCTTCCAAGGTAATGGGGTAGACTAGGCACTGTTTAAAGCCAAAAGTGGTGGCTGTAGGCTCTTTCATGAGTATGTGTGATATACTACAGGTGGTGATTTGATCAGGGTATCACACATAATTGTTTCAATTTGCCTTATTTCAGTGTCAAGCTCACATGGTGAGCAGATGGCTACAGTCTTATTCACATGACAGTCAATGAAACTGATCTTGTAGCATGCAGAATTGCTTCTCATAGTAACCAATGTTAGCAAGAGATGAGCCTAAAGGTGATCCCACGGCAATGCCATCTATTTGAGTGTACATAGTGTAATTAAAATGGAACTCAACTGCCTAAGTTGCCAAGTTTGAGTCTGATATACAGAGATTCAGATACAGGTAGTACATCTAGGTTGTCATGATATAGTGACATAGTGAAGAAGTCAATAGCTCCTTTGAGTAGTATGGTAAAACAGCATGACATACTATTCCTCTCAATAAGCAAGTCTTGTATGGTCGTAAACATGAAGGAATCCTTCACTGTGTATGTGGAAAACTCATTTAGGGCAGGTTGAAACAGGAAACATGGTCATGGTCAGATACAATAGGACGCAAGGAGACATTACTCGTGTCTGTCTAGGATAGCCCGTACAGGTGTCGATAGAATGAGCCATGCCGGTTACCAACGTTAGCAACAATGCCTCTGCAGCTTGTTCTCAAGTGTGGATGTTCAGTCATATCCATAGAACCTGCCACTAGCCACAGTTTGGAACCATCTTTGAGGACTGTGTATTTCGTGAATGTAATCACGTTTGTTGAGTATGACTACTTTAGTCACTTTGTCAGGTTTACATATATATGGGGATTGGTCTTGGGATCATACATGGCTGCCAGCTATTCACGTGGCACATGAATCTGCCAAGTAATTAGGTGCTCCACAGTATACATGTACCAGGTCTGCTATGCGTGCTTTCAGGGCTTCAGCATCATTGGTTTATAAGGAGATAACTGGATAACACGGTCTTTCTTTATCAAGTCTGTATCTTGCATCCTAGCTCAGATGAGTGTAAGATGAAAAACTTCAACTTCTTTTAGCAATGTTTTAGAACATGTTGAGGTAGGACAGTTTTAACGTTATGAAATAACATTATTAAGCATTACTTTGTTGCTTGTCACCTGAAGGCCACTGGATTTCACTGAATTGTCAGTTAGAGATTAATAGTTAGAGTCCTGACTTGTTCGTCTATTTTTTTTTTCAAAATTATATTACATTCTCTGCTGATTGAGAAACTTCTCTAAATTGGCACATAAGGAAACCCAGTTAGAAGACTATGTTGAAAATGTTACAGAAAGACAAACAAATACAGATATCCCTCTTAAAAGCTGGTTTAATTGATAATTCAAGTGATTATTTGATTTTTTTCCTCCCCCTGCTAAGATTTACATTAGAAAAGAATGGCAGAAGATAAACTGTTTCTTCAGAGAACCAGTGCAAAACTATGTGCTGAATGACAGCATGCTGTGCTGCAACAATTCCATGAATCTGCACTATGATGTCAATATTTGGAATTAAATCTGAGGTGTGCGCATGTAGAATTGGTCTGAGGGGAAGATAAGATAATGTTATGCAATTGATATCTTCTAAATTACATTAAGTAGTCTGCTAATTGCTATTCTCTCTTTTTCAACAGTTGTGTATTTACTCACCATGTGAGTGAATTGAGGACAAATGCCATCATCGACAGCCTCCCCTGAGCTGTGGAAAATCCCAGCACCTAAATTACAAACAGAACCAGTAGAAATAGAAAATTAAAAACAAAAATAACACATCCAAGGACCAAAGCTCTATTGAGACACCTTCAAAGACAACACAAGCAGGCTGTGTTTGAAGCTGGTAACAAGGTTTACCACAGAACATGTCCACTGTGTTGCAAAAGGCAATTGAAATTTAAAAAGAAATGTGGTACTTATTTGTTTGAAAAGGAACATGGTTACACCTGGACTTGTAAGTAACTAACTTAGCCACATAGTCCACTGCAATGCATCTACTGTGGTTCTTCTCAATATGTATGGCTCACATGCTAATCCCTCCTGGCTCCAGTTTCCATGACATAATCCAATCCCATATGCTGCATATTTTATCTGGGTTGGAAAATTATTCAGAACAAAGGCTTACAGACAACTTAGAATCTGGTTAAGTAGTTCAGGTGCAGGCGCAATTTTATTCTTTTGCTGTTCTTGCCCAGTTTTTAAAATTACAAAATGCAGGAATAGGAGAATGCACAAACGTTTACAGATATTCAAGTTTACAGATACTTCACTCAAATGTAGATACATATGACAATTCAATACAAAGAAGAGATCGCTATGAATCCTTCAATGATTTTGTTCTCAGGTTACAGTGCTGCCACTGGGATTTCAGTTATGCATGATGGGGGCATGTGAAGTTATTAAAGCATTTCTCTTTGCAATCACCAATTGACCTATTGAACATCATTTAAGTTAACAGTATTTTTGGAACAGTAACAAATACGGTCAGGAATTGTGGACTTTGTATATGTGATACATTACACTATTGAAAGTGAAGAGAAAAAGTTTAAGCAAGCTTGTCTCCTTAAAGCTACAAGTTTTAATTGCTGTAGATTAGCACAACTCAAGGTCAGAGTGCTATTACTGTTAGGTAATAAATATATGGATAACAACATATTGTTGAGTTTGCTGTTTAGAGGAAAAATGGTCTTTATTTAAGAAAAAAATACCTGTGATTGTCTAAGGTAGAACAACTTCTCAAAGTTTGTTATGCGTTAGGTATTGCAATTCGCCATTATGGATTTTACTGCAACCCTCCCAGACAACACAAAATGAACAGTTGTTCAGCACTAAGCCTCTGCCTTCCATGTTCTGCTTTATCTGGCCCCCATGGTGCAGTTGCCACAACAGCTTGAGTTCTAATGTTAGCATTACTGATGAAAATTCATTAGAAGTCTTTTTGGCAGTAACATGTCAGTAATTTCTCTAGATCATGAGAAACAAAAAGGCTACTTCAAAAACTGTAAAAAGTGCATTCATATCTTGCAAATAATCAGACTACTGAAGGAAGCACTCGCGGGACAAAAATCAGTGGATATTTCTCACATCCTTCTAACCAACATGCCCAATCCCAGCCAAAGAGAGAAAACATCCCTCCATCATTCCATTAGTGCTTAGGAGATTTGCCTTTGTGAGACCTGCATGTGATCTTTGCCCTTTCATGAAATATCCAGAATGCATTACAAACAGCAAAGATACAAGTTTTTGAGTTGCCTGACATTACAGCTAAAGGTTGGCCAGTGCATCCTAAGATGCCAGGTTGCTGTTATTCCACAAATATTGAGGGTTAGCCAAAAGCGGCAACAGATTTCCTTATGCACACGTCAAATTCTACATCAAGAGACAGATTGTTTGTCACTATTGAGTATAGGAGTTGGGACGTCATGTTGCGGTTGTACAAGACATCGGTGAAGCCACTTTTGTAGTACTGCGTACGGTTCTCATTGCCCTTCTATAGGAAGAATGTTATTAAATTGGGGAGGGCTCAGAAAAGATTTCCCATGATGCTGACAGGACTGGAGGATTTGAGTTATGAAGACAGGCTGGGACATTTTCACTGGAGCGTAGGAGGTTGAGAGGTGACCTTATAGAGGTTTATAAAGTCACGAGGGCATAGATAAAGGTGAATAACAAAGGTCTTTTTCCCCTGGGGTGGGAGTGTTCAAACTAGGGCGCATATTTTTAAGGTGAAAGGAGAAAGATTTAAGGCGGGACCCGAGGGGCAACTTTTACTACACAGAGGGTGATTCGTATGTGGAATGAACTGTCAGATGAAGTGGTAGATGCAGGTACAATTACAACATTTAAAAGACATTTGAATAAGTACATGAATAGGAAAGATTTAGAGGGATATGGGCCAAATGCAAGCAAATGGGACTAGTTTAGTTTGGGAAACTTGGTTGACATGGACAAGTTGGACAGGATTTGTTTTCATGCTGTATGATTCTATGAACCCGAAGTAACAGAATTTGCTCACCACTTTCAGCAGCATGTTTTCAGTGTGATTAAGGGTGAAAATGTTATCGCCCTGTCACAATCATGGTTTTGTTGGTGGTACTTTCAGGCTGGAAAGATTGTCAAGCTTTGCTAGCTGACCCAATATGCAGATAAACTTTTAGGATGTGCAAAGAATGCAAGAGTCAGGGTCATAGATGTCGTAGAGTGGGGTATAGGACATAATCCTCCCATGCTATCTTTCATTATGCAAGTATCAGAAGTGAAGCATCAAACTGCAGAGAGTACATTCATTATTTGGGAGAAACAGAGAAGATTGAGTATTCTATCATACACACACTACCTGTGGGATTGTGGGTCACTGTTCACGGCAGGCACACCATATTGACCTTTCAGCTTCCAAGCCAGAAAATTTCTCCTTTTATCTTTGTTGGTGCATAGCCCAAGCATAGTTTTCAGAATGCACCTTGTAGACTAATGACCAGAGAAGAAATGAAAACCTAAACATCTGGGCCTCATTGGTTAGAAAGTTGCTTCCATAAAGGAAACACCAATTGCTTAAAGGGACTCCATTCCTGATTTTGTGTCAAATTTATTCCTTAACCTTTAACTCTCAATACTGTCATTAACGTTAAGCCATCTGGCAGCGTCCAAATTACCAAAGTCATGAATATGAGAAAAAAGGAATACAATACTAATTGAAGGCTATCACTTAACCTGCTTCAGTGTTGAATCTCATTGCCCAGGTTGCCAGCCCATTCCCTGAGTGAACAACCTCCCGACTACCTAACCTTCCTCCGCCACTAAACTCTGGTAATAGTCATGAGATTCAACTAGACACAACTTCATCTTATATCTCCCTCAATAAAGTCCCCACATCAGCACTATACCCCCTCAATATCCTCCCCACGCAACCTTACTTAACCCACCTCAAAAAAATCTAAACTTAAACCTGTCAGTAGAACCTGGCTCCAATCAGTCCTCCAAAATCACTTACAGTTTCTTGTCATAGTGACACAAAATTTTAATTCCAGTCTGGCCACAGGGGAAGTATCAGAGGACTGGAGGACAGCTAATGTGGTTCCACTTTTCAGGAGGTATGGTTGAGATGAAGGAAGAAGTTACAGACTGGTGAGTCTCATGTCACCGGTAGGGAAACTACTGGAGTGAATTAATACCCACTTAGAAAGGCACAGCTTAATTAGGGATTGTCAGCATGGCTTTGTCAGAGGGAAGTCATGCCTAACAAATTTGTTAGAATGTTTTGAAAAGGTGATCAAGTGTGTGGATAAGGGAAGTTTAGATGATGTAGTTTATATGAATTTTAGCAAGGCTTTTGACAAGCTCCCAACATGGGAATCTGATTGAGAAGGTTAATGCACATGGAATCAAGGGAAACCTGGTGACGTGGATCAGAAACTGGCTTAGTAATAGGACACAAAGGGTAGTGGTAGAAGGCTGTTTGAGTGACTGAGGCTGGTGTCCAGCAGTGTATAGAAGGATCAATACTGGGACCCTTACTGTTTGTTATATACATAAATGATATAGATAAAAATGTGGGGGGGATTGTTAAGCAAGTTTGTGAATGATACCAGTAGGTTACAGTAAGATATAGATAGGTTGGTCAGATGGGCAGACTAGTGGCAGATGGTATTTAACCCTGATAAGTGCAAGGTGATGCACTTTGGAAGTAGTATTTAAAGAATGGAAGGACACTGGGTAGCTTAGAGGAAGAGGGATTTTGGGGTAATTATTCATAGATCCCTAAAGTCGGCAGAGCACGTGAATAGATAATGCGGCATATGGAACACTTGCTTTCTTCAGTCGTGGCACAAAGTATAAGAGCAAGGAGGTAATGTTGAAGTTGTACAGAGCATTGGTCAGGCCACAGCTGGAGTACTTTGTGTAGTTCTGGTTACCTCACTACAGGAAGGATGTGATAGCACGAGAGGGACAGAGGAGGGTTACCAGGATGTTGCCCGAGATGGAGAAATTGTGCTTTAAGGAGAGACTAGATAGGTTGTATTGTTTTCTTTAGAGCAGAGAAGATTGAGCGGGGACATGATTAAGATGTATAAGATTACAAGGGGCATGGACAGGGTGAACAGACAGCGGCTGTTCCCCTTGGTTAAGGGATCAATCATGGGAGGGCAGAGTTTTAGGGTAAGGGGCAAGAGATTCAGAGGAGATCAGGGAAAAACTGTTTTCACTCAGCAGAATGCATTGTCTGGGAAGGTGGTGGAGGCTGGAAACCATACAACCTTTAAAAAATATTTGAATGAGTATTTCAAATATCATAACATTCAAGGATATAGACCAAGTGCAGGAAATTGGCATTAGCACACTTTTAATTGGAGTTATGTCAGTGCAGCCTTGATGGGCTGAAGGGTCTTTTCTACGCTGTATGAATCTATGAATTAGATAAATTCACCATTTCAAATCACTCACAGAAAAGAGATATTTTTGAAGAACCGCTACTGTAAACAAAAAGCACACTTTAAAAGCTTTAATTTGGTTTACCTCATAGCTAAATACTTGATCGAGCGAGCGACTGTTCTGTACCAGGCTGTCCACGACAGCCAACCAAATGCCGAGGAAACTGTAATAGATGCACTGCATCAGGATAATCTGAGCTACGATAAGAATGGGATCCCATACATAGCTGCGGAAGTGCCCGGCCATTCCCACAGCACGCTTTGCGAACCACAACCAGTAGCAATGATAATCACTTTCAGTCTTTAGTTATTGGGAACATGATGCTTGTTGGTGCTAAATGCCAGCAGTAAGATTCAAAACACCACTGCTGCAAAATCCAGAACAGAGATGTGTTCACCACACCTGAAGAGAAAAAAAGAGAAACAAATGCTTTCAGATGGCAAGATAACATTTAACATATCATTCAATTGCCAGGATGAATTTGTTGCTGCCTCAAGAGAAAATTAAGGGAAGAAGTTAGCAAAAAGTTTCTGTACAGAAAACAGACTTATACCAATCAGAAATAATATCAGGATAGCTGCAAACCATTCAGCGCCCTTGAAACTGTTCCACACCTCAACCCCATTTACTCATCCTTCATGTCCTTAGCACCTCTCCTTCCACAAAAAAAACCTATTAATCCTGGTCTTAAATTGCAGCATTCTGGATATTTTACTAGGTCCAATAGTTTCTCATTATTACCATAATTAATCATCATTGTAAACACCTCAATTAGATCATCCCTCAACCTTTTAAACTCAACTGTACTTAAACCAAAACGTAACAAAATTTAATGCAACCCTTTAAGCCTGATTATCACTCTACTGAACCTGCACTGTGAACCAAGGTCAAAATAACCTCTCAATATTGTGCAAAACCTAAGTCGCATAGCAGAGTGCTGATCTGTATATTTGTGCTGAAGTGTCTGCTGTGGATTTTAATCCATAACCTTGTGACCCAGAAATGGAAATGCTACCAATCAAGACACAGCTGACATGGAAGTATGCAAAGAGTCAGTCGTTGTCGCAACAGACATTCAAAACAGATTTAAAAGTTTTCCAACTATACTTGGTTTGAATCCATTGAAGTGAGGTGTTTTCCACATATTCAATTACAAACAAGGCAAAGTGCTTAACCTCATTTTTCTACATTATATTGCATCTGTGAAGTCTTTAGCCATTTACTTAACCTGTCTATATTCCTCATTAATATACTGACTTGGAACTACTTCAGTGCTCCTTCACAGTTGCCTGATCAAAATCCTGGAATTCCCTTTCTAAAGGGACCATGGGTGTACAGATAGAATGCAGTGGTTCAAGAAAGTGACTCACCACCTTCTCATGGCAATTATGAATGGGCAACAAATGTTGATGTTGTTACCAATGCCCACATCCCATGAAAGAATAATCAATGCCCAACACATAATCAATGCCTGTTCCATTCACAGGCAGAAATATCCCTCCAAATGCGGTCCAGGGTGTGGAATTATAATCAGCAATGCAGAAGCCCCAATAAAGCACACTGAAATCAGACTCTAGAATTCACAGTAGGCAAACTACATCACATTGCAACTTGATTGCAAAGACAAGGACAGGCTTTTCAGGTAGTCAGGAACAGTGGTATTATTTTCATATTGTCCTTAATGTCTTGCCATATTTGGATGTTGAGTATTCAAGGATGTCTCACTGGAAGTGATGCAAATGAAGAGTGAGTCAGTAGATTGACTATCTTTGCCTGCCCCCACCATCCCCCCAACCTGGTTATTCCAGGGACTCTGAAGTTCCAAAGATTATACTTATCCAAAGACATGCTTATTAGTTAACTTAGGAAACAAAAATAATTCAACAAATGCTATTGAAGTCCATTTGCAAAGAGCAATTTCAGATAACATTCATAACAGATTTCCTGAATCATCCTTATACCAGTTAAAGCCTCTAAAATTGTCAAAATTTATACAAAAACCGAAAGAACTGCGGATGCTGTAAATCAGGGACAAAAACAAAGTTGCTGGAAAAGCTCAGCAGGTCTGGCAGCATCTGTGAAGGAAAAAAGTGTTAACATTTTGGATCTGGTAACCCCTCCTCAGAACGGAGGAAAATTGTCAGTAGTGTCAAAATTTAGACACACTACACAGTGACCTTTTATTTAAGATCTAGCCTCAACCAACAGGATGAAAATCTCCTCCATCGCTGACTCTGGTCCTGTAAGAAAACTGGTTTGGGAATTATCAGCCTAGTTCCAATTGATCTTTGGACCAGTTCAACTCTAATTTATTTATTGTCTCATTCAAGATAGCAGCAAGGGATGACCATCGAGAGTTGAAAAGCAGCATATGGTGTAGGTGCATAAAAGCAGGCAAAGAGCTTACTCTGCATTTAACCATAGCCATATCAGATCTAGCTGTACTTGTACATTAAAGTCAATGACACATTCAAAAATAACCAAGACAAAACTCATGTATGTACGTTCAGATGGCAAATGTAACTCTTGAACCTTGATATTTTCCTACATATAGTATTTGAGTCCTGAAATATTGGCCATTGAAATCTGTGGGTTGCTGGGTGGTGCTCACTAAATCTACTCCACCTTCAACAAATATTCCCATCCTCAACGCTAGGGGATTCCCAGCACTTCACTGTAAAAGATAAGCATCTGCAACAATCTTCATCAGAAATGCTAAGTACATTATCCATTTTGGCCTCCTCCCTCACATCACAGATGCCAGTCTTCAGCCAATATCATGCACTCCGCATGATATCAAGAAATGGCCGAAAGTACTCGAAACAGCAAAGGTAAAATATTCTGACAATAGTACTGAAGTCTTTTGCTCCAGAATTTGCTCCTCTCCTAGCTAAGCTGTCCCAGTCCAGCGAAAACATTGACATTTACCTGACAATGTAGAAAATTGCTCAAGTATGTAAACATCAAATTCAACCCATTCAATTACCTCTCACATCAGTCTACTCTCGATCATCAGTAAAGTGATGAAAGATGTCATTAACAGTGCTGACAAAGAGCATCTGCTCACTGATGCCCAGTTTGAGTTCTACTAGAGCCACTCAGCCCCTGACCATATTAAAGCTGTGGTTCAAATATGGACAAAACAGCTGAATACTACAGGTGAAGTGAGAGCTACTGCAATTGACATCAAGGCTGCACTTGACAAAGTGTGGCATCAAGAGGCCTTGCAAAACAACATCAGAGAGAATCAGGGAAAAATTCTCCACCGTTGAAGTCATACTCAGCATAAAGGAACTGGCTGCGAGTCTTGGACGTCAGTCATCCAAGATCCAGAACATCTCTGGAGTTCCTCAGGGTAATGTTCCAGGCCCAACCATCTTCAGCTGCCCTCATCCATCACAAAGTCAGAAGTATTTACATGCACGTGTATATGCAAGTGTGAGAGTGTCTGTGTGTGTTGGGGGTGGGCAGGGACTGGTGAAGAAATGTTAACTGGTGATTGCACAATGAGCATCACCATTCGTGATTTCTCTGCAATCCATGTCCAATTGCACAAGACCTGGACAAAGTTCAGACTTGTGCTGATAAGTGGCAATTAACAGTCAGGCCACACAAATGCAAGGAGCAATCATCTCCACTCTGCGAGAATCTAACTACTCTTGAAATTCAACAGCACTACCATTACTGACTTTTCCACTATCAACATCCTGAGAGTTACCATTATCCAGAAATCGAACTGGAGTAGCCATATCGATGTTGTGGGTACAGGAACAGGTCAGAGGCTAGGGATTTCGCAGGAGGTATCTTAGCTCCTGACTCCCCAAAGGCTGTCCACCATCTATCAAGGCATAAGTCAGGAATGTGATGGAATATTCTTTTCTTCCCTGGAAGAGTAAAAGTAAAGGTGCTGGACTATAGGCTGCTCTGCATTAGAGAGCGATGACTGGTGGCAGTTTAACCAGATAGTCACCATATCTCCGGTGAGAGGAGAGGTTGAGAAGGAAAATCTTTCATGGTAACCTCAGCAGGTGTGGGAATTGAATCCACACTGTCACTCTGCATCAGAAACCAATCAATTGTGCTAACTGACCCCCATTCACAGCACAGTTTCTACAAGCAGCTTGAAAGCATCAATCTGTTTGATTGGCACCACTTCCACAGTCACTGCATCTACCACTGATGTTCAGAAGCAGTGGTGTGTATCAGCTTCAAGATTCATTGCAGAAATTTACCAAGGGTCCTTAGACAGTGCCTAGAAGGACAACGGCAGCAGATACACAGGAACACTATTGCCTGAAGTTTCTCTCCAAATCACTCATCATCCAGACTTGGAAATATTTTACAGTTCCTTCAGTTATGGGTCAAAATCCTAGAACTCCCTTCTTAATGCATTGTGAGTGCATCTACATAAAATAGACTGCAGCAGTTCCAGGAGACAGCTCATACCATCTTCTCAAGGGCAACTAGGGATAAACAAATGACCACTTAATCAAAGCCAACATCACATTCTGGGTCAAAACGTTACCTCTGATTTTTTTCTTCACAGATGCTGCCAGACCTGCTGAGCTTTTCCAGCAAATTCGGTTTTTGACCCTTTGCCTGACTACCTACCACCTGAAATGCCCAGCCCTTCACCGCATATGCGATGCAAAGCCAAGAGGTTTTAGTGGGGGTAGGGGGTGGGGATTGGCGTTGGAGTGTCAGATTAGGGGCCAAGAGGAGAAATTGAGAGGGTGGGGTGGGTGTGGAGGAGAAATTGAGAG